ACCCAGGGAAGTATAGGCTTGAGATTGACCCTTTCAAGAAAATTGTTTTGTGTTCTAATTTTGTTCATTGACCTCTGTGGATGAAATGTGGTAACTAAAGTCTCTGTCTTGTGGGGTGAGTACTGTGTAGGATTTTGAGATTGAATATTTGGGTGTTGAAATTTTCTTTAGTTCAGTTTTTGGGCAGCTGAATAAAATTTAAAACTTTTGAGATCATGAAGATTGCATCTTTGGTGGTTGTGGTTTGGAGTGTGTATGGCTTGTTGAGTTTGGGGTTCACATATCCATACCATGTAGAACCAGAATTTGATTTTATGAGTGGAAGAAGTGAAACCCCTGTTACCTATAACTATGATCGAATAGATGAAGTGAAGAAAGAATGTGGTTTTGTTCTTTCTTCTGCTTCTGAACTGAAAGCTGAAAATAATAAGGTGTATAGCATAAAAGAGGAGCTACTTTTTGTTAATGGGGACTGGAGGCAGGAGGTGGGTAATGCCCCAATCATACCATTTGATGATAGAGAAGTCCCAACAGAGTCGTGGGGTAATCGTACTACATCGAACTTGGTATCATTTTGGGTTACGGATGTTGATCGTGCCCATCGATCCAAGAAGTCTGTAAGTGTTAGTGGGTTCATGATTTTGGGCATTACTAAAGATGGTGGCTTTGCAGATTATGGGTACCAAGGAAATTCTGAATTCCAGATATGGCCTGGCCATTCTCAAATCCCAATTTCCTTCCAAGGGATTTACACTGAATCAAAGAAAAATGGTGGGGAAAGAGTAATGTGTTTGTTGGGGAGTACAATGTTACCTTCTCGGGACTCTGATTCTGCTAACCCTTGGGAGTGGTTGAAGGCTTCTCGGGAGTCTGATCCTCCTCTTTCTCAAGATGATCAAATTCTACTTGTTCTTCACTATCCAATGACTTTCACGTTGACAAATAGGTCTATCCAAGGAGAATTAAGAAGTTTAAATTCAAAGTCAAACTCAAAGTATTTTGATGTGGTTCACATTTCATCGCAGTTGGGAAAGTCTGCAGCTTACGATTTTGGATCTGAAAAAATAGTGTCAAGAGCATGTGATCCATACCCTTACAATGATAGCTTGATCTATGGTGGCGTTAGCATCTATAAAGGTCCTTCTATTTGTGAAATCCTTGAAGAAAGTGCAAGGGACCAAGCTTTCACTGTTTTGCCAAACTGGAGATGCAATGCCACTGATGATTTTTGCAGTAAGCTGGGTCCATTTGTGGCTGATGAAGAGATTAAGGCGTCAGATGGAAGCTTTAAAGGTGTTAAACTTTTTATGCAGAATATCAAGTGTGAACAAAAAAATGACCAGGGAAATGCCAGTTCAGCAAGGGTTTCAGCTGTGTTTAGAGCTGCTTCTCCACTAGAGAATCAGTATACCGCAGCAAAGAGATCTGGGCTTAACAACATGACTGTTGCTGCTGAGGGAATATGGAAATCTACCAGTGGGCAGCTTTGCATGGCTGGTTGCCTTGGACTTGTTGATGTGGAAGGGAGTCGATGCAATAGTCGGATCTGTTTGTACATACCTGTCTCTTTTTCCATAAAGCAACGAAGCATTATTTATGGAAGTTTATCCAGCACCAATAACAGTGGTGCATCATTCTTTCCTCTCTCGTTTGAAAAGCTAGTGCAGCCTACGGAGTTGTGGAATTATTTAAGAACCTCCCATCCATACTACAGGTACACAAAAATTGATTCAGCTGCTGTTGTCTTGGAAAAAAATGAGGCCTTTAGTGTTGGAACTGTCATCAAGAAATCATTGCTGAATTTTCCCAAACTGGAAGACACAGAAGCTTTTCAAGTCAGTCTTTCTCTTCTCTCAGAAGATCTAACCCTTCATGTGTCTGCATTTCCTGATCCAATGCGAAATGCTCAGCCTCCTAGAACAGATATTCAGATGGAGATTCTCTCTGTTGGCCCCTTGTTTGGGCGCTATTGGTCTCCACAAAATAGTTCCACTGTAGAAGAGGAGACTCCTTACCGCACGAAGGCTGAATACACTGAAAAGCAGCTCCTTCTGAATGTATCAGCACAACTTACCATCTCTGGGAAAGCTTTTAGCAATTTCTCTGTGCTTTTCTTGGAGGGTCTGTATGACCCACATGTTGGAAAGATGTATCTAGTTGGTTGCAGGGATGTTCGAGCCTCGTGGAAGATCTTGTATGAGAGCATGGATCTTGAGGCTGGGCTTGATTGTTTAATTGAGGTGGTTGTGTCTTATCCTCCAACTACATCTAGATGGTTAGTCAATCCGACTGCAAGTATCTCGATAGCCAGCCAAAGGAATGAAGATGACCCCCTTTACTTTAGTACAGTCAAGCTCCAAACTCTTCCGATTATGTACAGGAAACAACGGGAAGACATTCTCTCTCGTCGGGGTATTGAGGGAATCCTCAGGATTTTGACTCTTTCCCTGGCAATATCTGGCATTTTAAGCCAACTGTTTTACATCAGACATAATGTTGATTCCGTGCCTTACATGTCTCTAGTCATGCTAGGTATACAAGCCATTGGGTATAGCATTCCTCTGGTCACAGGTGCTGAAGCGCTTTTCAAGAAGATATCTTCTGAATCCTATGAAACATCTTCATATGACCTTGACAACAGTCAGTGGTTCCATATAATTGATTACACAGTAAAGTTTCTTGTGATGGTCTCATTATTACTGACTTTAAGGCTTTGTCAGAAGGTTTGGAAATCCCGAATCAGATTACTAACACAAACTCCTCTTGAACCACATCGTGTCCCTAGTGATAAGCGGGTGCTTCTGACTACCTTGACAATACATTTTATTGGCTATATAATTGTTCTTGTCATTCATAGTATGAACACCAGCAGAAGATCTATTCGGACAAAAAGCTACAGAATCGCTAGAGCAAATTCTCATGCAATGTGGGAATGGGAAACTGAGCTAGAGGAGTATGTCGGTCTTGTTCAAGATTTTTTCCTTCTCCCACAAATCATTGGCAACGTTGTGTGGCAGATTGATTGTAAACCACTTAGAAAGTTTTATTTCTTCACGATTACACTGGTCAGACTTTTCCCTCACATTTATGATTATGTGAGAGCTCCTGTGCTCAATCCTTACTTTGCCGAGGACTACGAGCTTGTCAACCCAACTACGGACTTTTACTCCAAGTTTGGGGATATTGCCATACCTGTTACAGCAATTATCCTTGCAGGTGTGGTCTATGCTCAGCAAAGGTGGAGTTATGAGAAACTCAGCCAAACTCTTATTGTGGGGCAATGTAGGCTTCTTCCATTGGGATCCAAAATGTATGAGAGGTTGCCTTCAAGTTCCAAAGCATTTGAAGCTGAGCTTGTTTCTGGTGTCAGTGGTAATGCTAGACATGAGAATGAGAAAGAGGATGATGATGTAGAATGATGTGGAAAACTCTTTAAAATTAACATACAGAAAAAGTGTTGTAAACATATATGCGCAGTGTTACTTTGATGTTTGTTCTCACTTATGAGATGTTGATGTTGGCTTCTAAGAGAATTGTAGCAAGAACTAAATTATCCTGCAATTTTTTTTTCTTTCTTTTATCTTTTGCTGCTATAGATGTTCATTCCTTGGTTACAGTCTCATTCAGAAGGATTAAACTGTTCTAGGGTACTAGCCCCCTCTCTCCCAAAAAACACTCCTAGAGTTGTATTCACTTTGAGGGTCCCATCGCCCCTCTTCTTTTCCTTCCATCTCCTCTTCCCCCATTTTCAAAGACAGAAGGTTTCCCTATTTGTCTTCGTTTTGTTATGATTTTCCTCCAACCATCACAGGTGATTGTGTCTCGACGTTGGATCTTTATGTGTGTTTCGGCGTTAGATCTCCACAACCATCCTTTTTGCGGTTTCTTTATGTTTAGAATAAGTTGCAAAGATTCTTTGAGTTCTCTATATAGTTTTCACCTCTCCTTTTGTGAGAGCTTTTCACCTCTCCTTTGTGAGAGTTTTTCACCTCTCTTTTGTGAGAGTTTTTCACCTTTCCTTTGTGAGAGCTTTTCATCTCTCCTTTGTGAGAGTTTTATTTGTATTGTTATGGCTTGAATTTGTCAAGCTTTATCTTTTTTTGATTATTTTGAGTTTGCAATCTTAGTTGGGATGTCTATGCCAGAATTTCTTCGATCCTGCATGATCGTTAGTGGAGGCGCACCAGAGTGTCTTTTAATGTTAGACCACTTCGTTACTATAATGACTCTTTATGGCTAGTTTGTATTGGCCATTTGTGGTTAGTGTCGTTTTTGGCTAACCTATGAATGCAATCCCATAATTTCTCAAGAAAAAAAAAACACTTCTAGGGTAATTGTTTGGGTTCAAATGGTACCATCCAAATATGTGAAAATCAATAATCTCAGTCACTAAATCCGTTTCCAAATTTTATACAATAACTGACAAGTTGCAGAGGGACTCAAGGAATGATTCACTTTTTAAAATTTATTTTTAAAATAATAATTTTGATTTATTTATAGATCAACTGCATGAAACTTCCCAAGCTATGAAGTCAATGTTAAATTGGCCATTATCTTTTGAAGGTTACAAGTTCATACCTAAACTCAAGGCCCGTTTGGTGATCATTTTGTTTTTAGTTTTTGGTTTTGATTCCTTTAGTTAAAGATAGAAGAAAAATATATAGGATTAATTACAGTTTAGTACCATGTGGTTATACCTTTAAGACATGTTAGTCCCTATCTTTTCAATTTTAACAATCACATACCCCGGTCTTTTAAATTTGTTACAATGTGGTTCCACCATTAGGTTTCCGTCAGATCTCTCTATTAGTTGCTTGTGTAGCACTATAGGTCCCACATTTTTTTTATTTTTTAAATATAAATATGAATATATATATATATATATCTCTCTCTCTCTCTCTCTTTCCTTCCTTCCAATTTCTTCCTCCCAATTCCTCCCGATTTCTTCCCCTGATGATGGCGTCAGGGAAGTTGAGTTCGGAGGGGATGGAGATGAGGGGATGGTGGTTGAACTCGGAGAGGAGCGAGTCGACCTAGGAGGTGAGGTCGGATGGGTTGTAGTGAACTGCGTTAGAGGCGAGCTGGGAGAGGTCATTGGGGGAGCTGACCATGACGGTCTTGAGGCACTCGAGGGGCTGAGTGACATGTAGGTCGGCGGAGCGGACCTTGTAGCTGGCATCAGCCAAATGGCCTTCGATTCTGGGTTCGTTGCAGAGAGAGAGAGATATATATATATTTTGGTTTTTAATATTCATATTTTAATCCATTTAAAATTAAAAATTTTGAAATATGTGGGACCCATAGTGCCACGTAAACAACTAACAAAGAGATCCGACAGAAACCCTAACGGCGGAATCACATTGTAACAAATTTAAAAGACCGGGGTATGTGATTGTTAAAATTGAAAATATAGGGATTAACGTGTCTTAAGGGGATAACCACAGGGCACTAAACTATAATTAACCCAAATATATAACATGAAGGATGAAAGAGGGATGAGTAGGGGTCGCCCTAAGAGCACTTCCGCCCATTTGTCATGGCAAAAGGTAAGGGCACTTGCTGTTCACGTGAATAGTGTCTACCCTAACAATTTTTTATGCATTCCCACTTATTGCCATAGCAACCTAAGGATAACCACTGTATACATGAGATAGGGGGAAATGAATTTGTATGGAGTTTTGGTGTGGGAAGCGACGAGCATGACTAGGCATTTATAGAAAAAAAATTCTAAATTTTTTGGTTTTTTTTTCCTTTTCTTTCAATTATTTTTGTATTTAAATTGACTGTTGATGAAGTCACACTGACCTCATGAGGGCAGCTTGCCCAGGCAAGTCTTGCCTTTAGGCTCGGGCTTGGTGGAGCCCACCTCTTACCAGGGGTGGATCTCATCGTTGGAATGAGTTTTGGTAGCCTAAGGGGCCTTTTGCCTGAGCTAGGCATGCCGCTGGAAGTGCTTTAAGAGCATCTCCACCCATAAAGGCTAAGGCTAAGGCAAGGCAAGGGCTGCCACTATTCACATGAATAGTGGCAGCCTTGCCATTTGTGGTTCCACCCCAAAAGGCTAAGGCTAAGGCAATTACTATTCATTGTACTTCATTTCCTATATATATATATATTTTTTTTTATACTTTAAACCATTAATTTGATAAGCTTTTTAGATTATATTTTCGGTTGTCACGTGTCACTATTTATTATAAAATTATCACTAAAAATTTAAGATAAAATTTTTCGGATAAAATTTTCAAATAAAAAATTTTCGGATAAAATTTTCGGTTGCCATGTGTCCATATTTATTATAAAATTCACATCTCACTCATCATACAATTGAAATACCTATTCACTCATCATACAATTAAAATATTCTCGGTCCTCATAGTCCGACACAATGGAATACAATAACAACTCTATCATTGGCGGAGGCGGTTCCACTGGATTACGACGTGGGGGAGTATTTTCCTTCGGAGGACGTAATAGTGCCATTATTTCTGACATGGAACGCACCACTGGAACCAACTGTGGGCATTGTTCACTTGAGGAGCCATGTGTAATGGTTTTCCTCTTTTTTGTTTTCCCTTGAATAATCTATTAAAAAAAAAGGAAATTGGAAATGCAAGAAATATATATATATATATATATATGCTACTCTTACCACATTTGTATACCACATTCTCATACCACCTTATGTGGTAGCTGAGGTGGACAGCCACATCAATAAAATAATTTAATATTTTCTTTTCTTTTATGGTTTATTCCAGTATTTGTTTTTCTAATTGCCTTAATTAAAATGCACTTCATTGATTTAATTGATGTGGCATATAAAATGGACATGCCACATCATGTGGTATAGAAATGTTGGATAAAAATGTAATAAATGTAGCATTACTCATATATATATATAATGACATTAAATTGAATAAAACAACAAATTTTTTTTTTACCTCGTCGCCAAGATTTTGACCTCTTTGAATGTTTGTCCACGAGTCTCCGGCTTTGATGGAAGAGACTATTTGTATTTTTGCACAAATGAAATTTTGTAGTAGAAAAATTGGTGTGGAAAGTGAAAAATATTGGAATGAGATGAATTTGTATGAAGATTTGGTGTGAAAAGTGAATAATATTGGTAGGTATTTATAGAAAAAATTTCCAGAATTTTTTGATATTTAAAAAAAAATTTGATATATAATTTTTCAAAATTTTAAAGCTAAAAATTGGACAGCTATTGGATTGGGCAAGATTTTTTGATCAGAGGCTCCAAGAGAAGCCACGTGGCTTATAACCGTTGGGCTATGTGGGCTGGTGGGTCAGCGTTGACGTCAGTGGCTGATTTTCAAATTCTTTTATTGTTGGCGCGTGTAAAAATTATGCACTATAAAAAAACGATATAAAAATTATGTTAAGCCCAATTATGCACTCTAAAATTAAGAAGAGAGACCCACTTATTCATTAAATTCGTAGTCCGAGCCAATTCACCTAGTTGAATAGAAAAAAAAAAAAAAAAAAAAAAAAAAAAAAATCCAATTTCCACATGTTTGACACTCTAAAGTTGGCCACAAAAATAAAAACCTATGAAAGAAACTTCCTAATGCCAAACACTTTTTTGCTTTATCAGTTCTTTCTCAATGATTCAATGAGGGCCGAAGTCCAAATTGTTTAACAAACATGGTGATTGATGATTTCTTTTCTTTCATGTTTTGTTTTTTGGGATTTGGGTCTAGAATTTCATGTTTTGTTCAATTATTGAATTAAAAGTCAAACCTATACCTCATCTGGTCTTCTTGTTTAGTTATTTAGGTAAGTGGTCCTTGTAGCCTGCAGGGGCACACCGGATTAACTACAAGTTTATTCATTTGTCCAGCTAATCTCATGCCTATATGTACGAGGACATCAGGTCCACTTAGAGAAATTTCGAGCATATACTAGGGAAGGAGACTTTTTATGCCTCAAATCAAATTCACAAACAAGGAAAAGCGAATTATTGCATTAACTTTTTTTTTTTTATTGTTATAGGACGGAAAGATGGGTGTGGCTGGTCTTGGTGGTTGGTGTGGTGTGGGTGGCTGCTGGTATTTCAAGTTTTTTATTTTATTGTTTGATTTTCTTTTTTTATTACATTGAGAGAAAAGAAACTCTGGGGTTTCGATCCTGGATGCCAAGCAGGTAGGAAGGGGGAAGGCCACAACCATTGTGATAGCCCTGCTCGACAATTTTATTGTTCATGATTTGTTTAGCTTACTTTAGTATTTTTAATTTGAATTTCTTATAATAAATTGATAAAATTATAAAATTGGCTGAATTGAAGAGTTGACAAAAAGGAAAGTACAATTAATAAATGAGAATGGGGATAGATAAGAGACTTTCAAATTTATGTGCATAACGTGCAGGTAGATCGTTAGTAATCATATTTTCTTTAGATCTGTTATGGATGTGGTGGTGGGTGTAACTGCGACGTCGCTTCTTCAGGTGGTGGTGGTGGTGGTGGTAGGGTTCGTTTAGACTCATAGGTTTTTATTTTTTGGGTTGAGAAAAGATGGTATTTCATTCAACCGAAAGGAACATTACATTGTAAGAACTAGCATGTTAATGACGGTCTCGTTAAAACCTTCCCAGAATATTTCCATTTCAAAACATCTCTATTTTCTAGCCCCAATATTTCTCTTTGTATGAAATTAGATAATTTGTTAATTTTCAAGCAAAATAAAATAAAATTTTAGTTGAAATTTGTATAAAAAAATAATTTGAAAATAATAATAATAATCGAGTTCAAAACCAAACCGAATCGGAATCGATTCAACCAAAACAGGACAGTTTTATAATTTTTTATTATTAAAATTGGATAAAACTGAACTGGATAAATAGTACCGATTTTGATTCTAATTTGAGACGAAAACGGGTCCAAACCGGACCATGCATACCCCTAGTTACATGTGATGTGATAATATTGAGTTTTAGTACAATTTATATTAGTTCCTTGTATGACTCTTCAACTGGCATCCAATTTAAAATACCAATCATTTTTGTATTTAAAATAAAAAAGTATTGAGTATAATATTTAATCTCTAGGATCTCATATTTATATCCACACATGGCCAACGAGGATTTAGTCCAGACCATTGACTTGAAGATCGAACTTTCATAACACTTTAGTATTGTATGTGAGAAACCTCAATTCCCTTGAAGTTTTTAATTTGCAAATTCGAACTCCCACCTTAATAATATGTGTATGAGAAATCCACCCTGTAGTGCTTGTATTAAAAAAGATATCCACATATAATCTTTAATATATTTTGATACTTTTGAGCACCCGAAGCAAAGTCACCGACCAACCTCCTCATGGACTATTTATTATACGCTAGTTTTCATATTATATATTGCATGCATGGAATGGTGTACTCATGAGATATTTTATTTGCTCCGAGTCTCTTAATAAAAAATAAATAAAAACACCAACAATGAAGTTATGTTGACAACTCCGGTTGATAATAAAGAAAATTTGGTACAGGTTTTGGCGTAATTGCAATTTGATCAATGTATTCAGCTTTGTATATAATACATAACATGTGAAAATTGTCTCCCGAACAAACAATAAGAACAACGTATGACATATTCAAAATGCCACTTTGGTAACTTTCACCGCAATTTTAGTGTAAAATTAAACAAACTATTTTGTTTTTGACTTTGTTATTTAAGGTGAGACCCTTGGTTTCTCTCTAGAAGCTTAATAAGAACCATAACATGCAAGTTACATGACCACCTCAAATTATTAGTCATCCTACAATAAAATAATCCACTAACCTTAGGCCTTGTTTGGTTCACAAAATGGATTTGAGGAGAAATTACTTCCCATGTCATTTCTTAAGGGAACATAAATTGAAGATTGCTTTCCCATGTTTGGTAATGCTGAGAAAGTAATTGGGAGATATCACTTTATTTCCTTTCCCATGTTTGTTTTGAGTATGAAAGGAAAACAAAGTTGTTATAATTTTTCAATTATACCCCATATTAAATTATATAAAAAAAAATGCATTTAATGATATATTGTAATTCTAAATTATAAATAAGGACAAAATGGTCATGAACAATGCGCATTTAATGTTGGCTCATTTTCCCAAACTTTCCCATGAGGAGGGAAAACAAAACTCAAGGGAGGAGG